AGGTGTGCGTAATGAGAGAGAGAGAAAGAGAGAGAGAGTAGAGAGGAGGAGAGAGAGAGAGAGAGAGAGAGAGAGAGAGAGAAGAGAGAGAGGAGTTATATAGAAAGAGATATATAAGAGAATAGACAGATAGGCAGAAATATATAGATAGACATATATTACATATATATATAATATATATAAATATATAATATATATATATATATATATACATATATATATATATATATATATTATATATATATATATATATATATATATATATATATACACACACACACACACATTTGACTGCACGTCGATGTCAACCCCCTCTGCCCTGGCCTCCCGCAGGTGAGATCCGAGGTGGGGCGTCACTTGGCCGCCTGGTGCCAGCAGCGGCCGACGTGGAGGCTGTCCCGCCGCCGCCCCTCCCTCCCCTCCTACAGGGACTACCTCAGGAAATACGCGGCCAACCAGACCGCTGTGGCCGGAGGAGGTAAGGGGAGAGTTCGGTAGTTCGGTAGTTCGGTGTCGGTTTAGCTTTTCGTGTTTGGAAGTGTGTGAGAAATGGTCTGTTTTTACTCTTGTTTCTGTTATTGTTTAGACAGAGGGAATATAAACGGAGAATTATTTATTGTTTAGACAGAGGGAATATAAACGGAGAATTATTTGTGTGTTTTGTTTAGACAGAGGGAATATAAACGGAGAATTATTTATGTGTTTTGTTTAGACAGAGGGAATATAATTATTTACTGGCGTTGAATACATCGAACTTCGTATTCCTCCTCAGCGCACTTCCGCCGCAAGAGACGAGCAGGGCGCAGACCCCGCCTGCACAGGTCCGTGAATGGCAAGAACAAGAAAGGGCGGAGGCGGAGCAAGAAGGGCAAGAAAGCGCAGACGAAGGCCCTGAGAAGGAGCAAGAAGACCGCGAAGGCGAAGGCGTCTCCGCGACTGGAGTTCCCGGCCGCCCCTCTTCCCAAAGGCCGGCCAGGTGGGAACCATGACCTCGCTGGCCAGTCCCTCATATATGCATACGTAGATGCGTCTCTGTTTGAATAAATGCAAACATATATACATAGAAACATACATACATACATACATTCATTCATACATATACACAAATATACATTGATAAGTTTAGAACTTTGTAAATACGTTTTTTTTTTTTTTTTTTTTTTTTTTGTATATCTGAAGCCCTTTGATATCCTCTACAGAAGAAAGCCCAGAAGACGCGGTGACTGCCAAGAGTCCGGTCGTCCTCCAGGAGGCCCTGTCCCCTCGTTCGTCCGGAATGAGGAGGACGGCCAGGGCTTCAGGCATTACCGGGACTTCTACCACAACTCCGACGGGGACCTGGACGCCGAGGAGAGCGCGCCGGCCCCGGTTCGCCCTCGCTCCAAGCCCAAGACGAAGAGCCGCGCCCGCTTGCGGTCCAGGATCGACATCCCCGAGACGATCGTTAAAGACGGACAGATCTTCTACAGGTACGACGCTGAGATCGACTCCGGGAGGAACAAGAAGGACCAGAGTAAGAGGAGCCACCAGGGCGGCCAAGAGTATTTGGAGAGCGTGGATGGCTTCGCGGCGACGTCTGACAACCACATCCCTGATGCAACTCCTGACCTCTTAGTTGACGGTCCCTTGGGCGCCGGAGACTATGGCGGCGGCGTTCTTGTTGATCATAACTTAATAGGCGACGATTACCCACTCGACCTCCAGGGGTCACACGTACAGACGCAAGCGCAGATGGGAGGAGGTAACCACGCAGCGTCTGCGGGAGCTCAGATGGACTCGGGGCCAGCAGTGCAAGTCCGAGTACTTCAGGAGGGTTCTTCTCAGCACAGGCTCAGAGCATGGGGCACCAGGGCATGAGTCAAACGCAGGTCCAGGGCAGTAAGCACGGGGTCCAGGGATCTGCTATGACCCACAGCAGGGGTCGACATTCCCAGGCTCAGGTTCAGATGGGCGCCCACTCTCTTTCTGCCGCCCAGGTGGTGTCCCACAACAATTCTCTCTCCTCAGTAGTGCAGGCAACGCAGCTAGGGGGCAGCGCCGGGTCAGAAGCACATGGCCACGGCCTGTCCACGAGCCATGCGCACATGGACTTCCACCCTTCCCAACAGTACCACGGAGGCAACAATGGGCTTCACGGCCAGGGAGCTGCTTCTGCTTCTGTCTCATCACAGGGCAGCTCTTCCTTAGCTTCTCTCACTGGGGACATTCCAACGGGTTCTTACCTTGGCACCGCTCAGTCCACCATGTCCAACCCTCACTTGCACCACGAACTGACGCAAGATAGCTATGCTGTGCATGCTGACGGTGTTCACGGAAATACAGTCTATGATGTTCATGAAACACACGCAGATCCGGCGGGTACAAGGGGAGACAATGCAGTCCATACAGAATTTGGACAGGTCGAGGCAATCAGAGCAGACTTTGGACAGGGCAATGCGGAAGGGGCAGACTATGGAGGGGACATCGGCCTCGGAGAAACAGCCCACACGCAGTCCATTCACGGAAGCGATCAAGTTCTTTTCACACAGGGTGGACAGGATCAGAGAGGCTCGGTTCACGGGCAGTATTTGCAGGCAGAAGACGTGAGCAGACAACCTGAAGGAGCGAGGGTGACCTATGGACAGGAGGGAAGTGATTTTTCCAGACAGTCTGAGCAAGAAAGTAATATTCACAATCAGTTTGAGCAAACGAGTGATATTCACGGACAGTTTGGACAAGGAAGCGATTTCCATAGACAGTTTGAGCAAGGACATTATATTCACATACAGCCGGGACAAGAAAATTCTGTGGGCGGTGAAGGAAGTTCACAGTATGATCTGTACGAAGAGAGGAAAACTGGACAATTTGGGGCGGAGGGCGCGACCCTCGACCAACCGGAGCAGCGCAGCCAAATACACACAGAATTCGAACATGAGAATCTGGTGCATGCGGGTCTGCCTGTAGAAGGTCCATTGCAAGGAGGGCAAGAGGATGCATTGCTAGGAGGATTGAATGAAAATTCTAAAATCAGAATTCACGGTCAAACTGCTGGCCATGGAGAGTTGCCACTTTTAAGCGCTGGCCATGGAGAGTTGCCACTTTTAAGCGCTGGCCATGGAGAGTTGCCACTTTTAAGCGCTGGCCATGGAGAGTTGCCACTTTTAAGCGCTGGCCATGGAGAGTTGCCACATTTAAGCGAGAACTTGCAAGAATTACACCCAATCGACGGTTCATATCATCCATCTGCCATAGGAAGCACATCCAGCATGGGACAGGATATGCTGGGCAGCATCATGGAAACGGTCCACCAACCAGACATGCAGCCCGCAGTTGCTAGTTACCCTGCCTCGGAATGGTCTTTCTCCGGCCAGGACTACCAGTACATCGACCAAGACGGACTCCACGGCGGGGCTGGGATTCCCCCGAGGGAGAGCGAGATCGAGCAGTCGTCCGTCCCCAGCGACTTCGAGGAGGGCGACGGGCGGTCCTCCTACGACGGGAGGACCGACTTGGCGACTTTGACGCACGGAAGTCTGGACGCTCTCCCCGGGCCGGAGGACTTCCACGATATCCCCAAGATCGACTATGACTACAGTGCCTTTGGGGATTACAACTATGAGGACGGCGATTACGGACATATCATAGGCGACGGCTTTCACCAACCAGGCTTAGACTACTATCCAGAATATATCCCTCCCGAAATTCTGCAGTCCCCTCATTTGTACCCTCCTCCTGCAGAAGTGGCTCCCCTACCTCGGCCCGCCGTGTCGCCCCAGAGGCCACAGCAGCCATTCGTCCCGGGGCAGACAGAGCCAGAGTTCACCACGCCGGTGCCTCGTATAGTGGTTCACCAGGTGCAGATGTCTCTGCCACAGCCCGGCGACGACGACCTCTCTCACACTCCCACGCAGCCCCCTGTCTCTGCGCAGCCCACAACTATATCTTCCACATCACCGCAGGTTCCAACACAGACTGCAGTCCCACATGGTGCCTTTGCACAGCCTGTAGCACCACAAGGCGGCTTAACACAGCACACTACCGCAGTGCAACCTGCAGTACCCCAGGTGCCACACGTGAGTATGCCCGCTCCTCAGCACGTGGACGCCACTGGGCCTCACATGCCTGCGCCACAACCACGCCCTCATGAAGGTTATGTATCAGCGTCCCAGCCAGAGTCTCATCCCCCCACAATCCCGCCGGTCCCCCTCGAGGAGGCCGGAGGCGCGGTGGACGACCGACAGATGGTGATGCAGACGATTCCTTTACCAGGAGGTCCGGGAACAACTCTTACCCTGCCGAACGTCCCTGGCTCACCCACCATCAACGTCATGGCCATGCCGGCGTCTGGCAGGAGGCCCGACGGGTCCATACAGCCCGGCGAGAAGATCCCGGGGACCCGAGGATACAAAGTCCCATCCGGATTCCGAGGCCGCGTGGTCCTGGGCAACAGTCTGGCGGCCGTCGGCTTTAACGGCCAAAGAGGATCTCATTCGACTTTCTACTCCTCTGGCGGCGGCCCCGGCGCTTCGCAGTACCTCACCCAGGGTTCGCACTCCTCGTCCGCCATGTCCTCCGCCATGACCTCCAGCAGACACACCATGCCAGGGATGCAACGCGTATATTCGTACCGCCAGACAGTCACGTCGCAGAACATGCCGATGTCCCAGTCCGAGGGCACAGGCAGCGCGTCCTCTGGGAAGTCTTGGGGCTCCATGATGTCCTCGGGGAAGTCATGGAACGGCAAGTCCTGGGACAGTAACGGTGACATGGAATGCGGCTACTTCAGTATGAACTGCAACGTGGTTTTCGGTCCTTTCAAACAGACCAAAGTGTGTAAACCAATTCACATCGCCAAGATCTGCTGCTGTTAAGCCTTCCTTTGTTCCACAACGCTTCTCAAAAACAACCTTGCATTGATAATAACGTTGATGTTATACACGATGTGAGGAACTAGACAAAAGTATAATGAATTCTTTGATTGTGGGATTCGTACATTATATCAACAGGTGCAGAGGAAGCCCAAGTATTCACATACAACACCAAATGGAGGAGTTCCGTTTACTTGTTTGAAGGCGTAGTTATGAATATTTCCAAGTGCTTCCGAAACCATTAAACAATTCTCTGTATGTTAAAAGTTTTATATACGATATATATTCCATTTGACTGTGATGAAGTGTAATAATATATTTCAGGTTAGAAGTCTGTCACAATCGTTATCAAGATGTTGTAATTTGTATTTCTTATAGATATAATATAACAGAGTGTATTGCAAGAAAAGTCTCTGGCCGTTGAAACTGCGCGTGTAGACAAAGTAATACACAATGTACCATGTTTTACATTTAAGAATTTCTCTAGGTAGTAAGATTTTTCTAGGTTCAGATTTCCATTATATTTATGACTTGACTTTATAGTTGCTGCAGAATAAATAGATTTGTATAATGGCTATGAAGAAGAATTGCCATTAAAAGATTTACATATTTTTTTTGCGTTTTCATCCAAATATACGACAAATAAAATCTGAATCCTTCCATTTTGTAACTTTCTTCTTTCCCTCTCTCTTCTACACACACACTCAGACATCTCTCTCTCTCTCTCTCTCTCTCTCTCTCTCTCTCTCTCTCTCTCTCTCTCTCTCTCTCTCTGTGTGTGTGTGTGTGTGTGTGTGTGTGTGTGTGTGTGTGTGTGTGTGTGTGTGTGTGTGTGTGTGTGTGTGTGTGTGTGTGTGTGTGTGTGAGCGTGCGGCATAACTGTTTTCATGGACTCTCGGTCACTGAATTCCCGATACAACCAATGGATCTCCTGACCTTTTCCAGGTCTGATGCTGCTGAAGACTCTGTTCTAAATACTCAGGAAGTATTGGCGCTTCCTCTGTTTGACAACGTGTGGCGCTGGCTTGATCCTCACACACTGGATGAGCACTCGCTTATTGAACACCTCCTTCACTAGTTTTCGTTCAACCGTGCTCGGCATGTTCAAAACCATGACCAAGATATTTAGCGGACAAAATGCTCTGACAGGCGACACAAAGTCACTGACATCACAATTAAAAGGACATATTTTTTAATAAGACTATAAGAATCCCTACATTTGACCATAAGAATCACTATCTTTTAAACAGTCAGTATTATCTTGGTGATCCAAATCTATCCATATCGATCCATCTATCTCCTGGAGCTTGATAGATCAATTCAAATTTGGATCAATAATTGTACTTCGACATCCCAGGTACTATAGGTTCAACATGCAGCCCCAAATTGCTGCCTGGCGTTGCACTTTCAGCTTGTAGCTCCAAATTGCTCAAAGTACTCTTATCGATAGGCTACACCTGCAATTTCCAACATTTCCTGTGAAAATAGCAATATCCAAGTCATAACAGATAATTAAAACCCTCTGTCCGGTGACGATTTCCATCAATGTTTTTCTTGGACAGTTCTAATCAGCGGAGGTAAATCTTTCAGTAACGAAAGAGTAAAGAAACTGTTATCTATGAAACTTCTCTTAACATCCCTGCTTCTGTGATTTTCGGTGCATATTCTGGCTAATTCCAAATTATTTTATTCATATGAGGCAACTTCAATTGTAATGAAAGGATAAATGACACAAAAATACACGTGCTCATAAAGCACAAAAGTGCCCCAAAACCTACATAACTATTGAAAGACACAAACAAGACTCCCTCTATTCTGCCTCCCCACACATTTCCTTCAAAGTAAATTTCCCATTACCGTGTTTCCCTCTCGTTTTTTTTCCTTTTGGGACACTGTAGCTGTGTTTTTTTTTCGTATTATCATGATAGAAGTGATATACCTAAAACGACGACCAGGTAACCATTAGTTACGTGTCTGAGGTAAACATCGGCTGGACACCAGAGATTGACCGTAGAAATACTATAGGAAAACGGAAGACAAGCATAGATGCCCAAATTCTCGTTGTTCGGTGTAAGTAGAAATGTTCAAGTACCACATCGATAATAATGCCTAAATCATCTTAAGAAAAAAACAAAAAAATTGGGCGGGATTTTAGACCAGTTCTTCCCTCGGGTTGGCATTGGAAGTTATACTAACGTGCTCCAATAAAGAAGCTTTAACATTGGCAAAAAAACAACAACTCAGGAATCGCCAAAATATGACTTTAGCAGTTATTTTATGAGGATGACGATATGGTCTGTCACTGCTAACCCCAATTACAAGAATATCAACGCCATAGGTGTCAAACTCAAAACCTTTCGAGGGGCAATTTTCCCTTCAGCTGTCGTCTTGCGGGCCATCATAATGTCACGGGCTGATAATTCTAGCCACCCCAAGGGCTACTTATGATCATCCAGGGGACACAGTTAGCCCGCGGACCATGAGTAACAACCCTGGGCTATTTCATTCATTACAAAAACACAATAAAAGAAAAAAAAAATGTAGGAGTGTAAGTGATAATCTAAAAGGACGAAGGACTGACTTAATCATGAACCGTATCCATGTTGACAAATGTAGAAAAGGTAATGAAATGAGACTGGATATCTTCACAATACAAGATATGGATTGGGAAGATATCCAGTCTCATTCATATCTTAATTAATGTAAATCGGCCAATTGTAGCCCTAAAATAGCATATGTACCGCGAGCTGTGCAGAGGATTGCAGTGCGCGGACCACATGTTTGACACTCTTAATCTACACCAACATATTACATCAAGGAACCAGTTATTACAGGTCTACAAGGAACGTTAAAGTGGAATTCATAAAAAAAATAAGTAAAAAAAAAAAAAACGCCAAGAATTTCCAGGATTCGTATATCAACAAGTTTTTTTTTTTTTTTTTTTTTTTTTTTTTTTTTTTTTTTTTTTTTGGCTGTGCTCAATAGTAAGCATTTACCCGTCCTTCTAGTGTAAATGAAGATACATAGGGCTACTTAAGAATTAGCAAACAAACATTTTCCACCAAATGTGCAAGGAAATGTGCAAGCCCAAACTAACGAAATGAAAATAGATGGTTAACCTTTTTAACGGGTTTAGGTATCTTCGTCGTTCATTTTTTTTTTTTTTTTTTTTTTTTTTTTTAAGAAATGCAAAGATTGGAAACATTAGTCTTGATACCATTTAACATAACCATATTTGCTAGAGAATATCTGTCATTAATTAGACGCCAAGTCGGTAATTCATAAAAATTAGGGATTGACTATATATACATATATATATATATATATATATATATATATATATATATATATATATATATATATATATGTGTGTGTGTGTGTGTGTGTGTGTGTGTGTGTGTGTGTGTGTGTTTGTGTGTGTGTGTCCATCCATCATTACTGCTGGTTCAGAATTTTACTTATCATTATTATTTATATCATTATCGTTATCACTGTTATTTGGCCAATGAGAATTGAATGCGTCGGTTGTCACACGGTTATTATTATTTTTACAGAAATATAATTGTAATAATTATGATAATAATAATGATATGATAGTGATAATAAAATCATACTAATGGTAATGTTAATGATTATGATAATGATAATGGTAACGTCAATGATTATAATGTTGATAATGACATCATTATTGTTAATATTATCATAATCATTATCATTATTATCATCATCATTATTATCATTATCATAATCAGTATTATTATTATCATTATTATTATTATTATTTATTATATTATTATTATATTTCATTACCATTATTGCTATTATTAGTGTTATTTTGTTGTTGTTATTATTATTATTATGATTACTATCATCATCATCATCATCATCATTATTATTATTATTATTATTATTATTATTATTATTATTATTATTATTATTATTATTATTATTATTATTATTATCATCATCATCATCATCATCATCATCATCATCATCATCATCATCATCATCATCATCATCATCATCATCATATCATCATCATCATCATTATTATCATCATTATTACATCATCATCATCATCATAACCATCACCATCATCATCATCATCATCATCATCATCATCATTATTATCATCATCATCATTTTTATTATTATCATCATCATCATCATCATTATAACAATAATAATAACACCAATAATAATGACAAAACATAGACACGTATCCCCGTTTGTTTACAAATGGATTTTCATCAGCAACTTCAGCAATGTCTATGTTTCTGCGGGTCTAGGTTTGATATAAACAATTATATGCACTATGTAACACCAGCAGTTAGTTATAATTGGCGCTATTCCCTCAATTTGTAATTTATTAACTGTTGTTTAATTTATTACAAGGAATTATAATGTGGATTTAATTTTGGGGGAGGAAATAGGTTCGTCAATCTTGAGGTGAATATGACAAGTTTTTGTGAATTGACAGCAGTTTGAGACAGTTTATAACTAATCTGAGGTAAGATATTAGTTGAAATTGTTATCTTCAGATCGCAATTATCATCAATTTACACTGGAACGATTAGGAGGGCTGAATATTACGTGAGGCTGTGTAAATTATATTAGGAATGGCTCCTTATTTTAGGCAGAATACATTGATAACATTATTATCAACTATAAGGTCTAAGGCATCTTTTCCAGCGGTTACGGGAAAAGCGACACCTCCTGCGCGACAGGAATGGAGCAGACGGTTAACTTTAATTGAGTTGCCAGATACATTCCTCCTACTTCGGATATTTCATGCATATTCGTACTTACATTGGATATCTGTAACACTGCACTACCCACCGTGAGATATCAAAAGCCATCTTGAATATTATATTCCAAAATACTGTTTATCTGTTGGAAAAATAATCAGTACAGTAAAATAGCAAGCCGTCAATCGCGATCATTCCCATTACATCACAGTAATGGGCGGAGCTTAGAGGCCTGTCTCGCCTCTGATCACGAGACAGCTTTTAGGGTCGCGGCACATCTCGTGACACCCTAATTACCACCAGAAAAGATGCCTATAGTTTCAGTTTCACATAGCTTTATGGTACAATGTAAATTTTGTCTGTAATGAACAGAGTGACCGAAAATAAGACACTTTCCATCTATGGTATTTCCTTTGGAGTGGATTGTAAGAAAGTTGTGTAATTTGGATATACAATTACAGGAGACTGTAATGACTATTATAAAGAAAAGGAAACACTACACGCACTGATCGTGGGTATCTGGGGGCAAAGTCCCTGGATTAGGAAGGTTTACCTGTGTGTGTAGACGGACCGTATCTGTGCATGCGCCATTATAGTTACCTCCTCTTTCACGCTTGTTTACCTTCTACACGTACTAAACTTTGGACAATGGATCATGGCTACAAATTCCATCAAAAGAACTACCAGTTAATTCAGAATTGATATTTATTTTATTTTAATTGTTTATGGAGAAAAGTAATCTTTTGCTGGGAGAAGAGGGAATGGGCTTATTTCCCCTAATTTTGACTGAAAAAGGCATATTTTTAGACAAAATACTTCATAATGATCATCACGAGGACGTCTGTGATGCTAAATGAGCTGCAGTCAACATGGAATATCCTAAAGAGTTTGAAAATTATTGGGAGGATTTTGAATGTGCAAGTTAAAGGGTTCTACTTGCCCATCATCCTTTTCCAAAGATAACGTGTGGAAGATAAACAAATGCGAGGGAGGAGATAAATATTCTGGTGCATGCACAGATAAGTGTATACAGTCTGTCTACACTTGCAAATGGAAAGTTTTTGGCTCATATGGCAATGTTTATGAATTCCCCAAGCATGGCTGAAGCAATAGGGAATTAGTCTCAGTGAGGTCAGATCACTGTAAACAGTTACCAATACTCTCCTTTTTATCATTTGTGGTGGAAAATGAGAAGAGATTCACACATATTACAATGTGAATAATTGAAACAAAAAATTATCATTCCATTTTTTAATGGCTGTGTGAAACTAAAGGATTACTAACCTTATTATAGTACACTGCTTTATTACCAATGGGAATATCTGTGTCTAGTAAGTATTTATAAAAAATTTGTAATGGTAACAATATCAGTTTGATTTTTGTTTTTTCTTTTTACTTTTACAACTTTAGGTCATTCTCACATTCATATTTGTGACAATTCTTACATTGCTGTTGATCGTATATTTCTTCTTTCAGATAGCCTTCCTGCCTTTAAATTTGTATTAACACCCTAATAAAAGTACAAAGCGAATACAGGGACTGAAACATGTCGGGAAAGATTCTTCCGTTGTCTGAGTCTGTGCGCTCAAAACTGCGTTCGGGTATCACAATCACCTCTATTGCCCAGTGTGTGGAAGAGATGGTAAGATACTCTCTCTTGATGTCTTTGGTTAATAGTCACTTACTGCAAGAATCACACACACACACACACACACACACACACACACACACACACACACACACACACACACACACACACACACACACACACACACACACACACACACACACACACAAATACACAAATACACACAAATACACAACACATACATACATACATACATACATACATACATACATACATACATACATACACATACATACACATACATACATATATATACATACATACATACATACATACATACATACATACATACATACATACATACATACATACATACATACACACACATACATACATACACACATACATTCACACACACACACACATTCACAAACACACATCACACACACACACACACACACACACACACACACACACACACACACACACACACACACACACACACACACACACACACACACACACACACACACACACACTCAGGCGTACATGTGCACACATGCACACACACATACGCACATGCGCACACATACATGCATGTATGCACGCAAAGTCATGTGTATATCAGGTTATGGCATATTTTTGCCAGACATTAAATAGATACATATAAAAAATCCCTTGTACAATTGCTGTTCAAACCTATTCTTCAGGTACTGAACAGCATTGATGCCAATGCCACATGCATTGCCGTTCGAATTGACCCAGCCATTTTTCGCATCCAAGTTGTCGACAATGGTGATGGTGTCACGGAAGAGAATCTAAAATTGTTAGGCAAACGGTAAGTTCATTTTAATGCTAGTGACACTGTATCACATTTTTCCTTTTATTGATCTTCTTTATTTTACCTTTGTTACCAGAAACTGAAATGATTAGTTCTAATTGATTTTGGTTCCCTGTTGGCAATTAGAACTGTTAGTGGATTTTTGCTCAGGTAAATTTTTTTATAATCACAATCCGTTAAACAAAGTTCATCCACATTTAACGCTGAGCGTTCTTATTTCAGACATTCTACAAGCAAGTGCCATAGCTTGGAAGATCTTAACTCCAACTTGGGGCATTATGGCTTCCGAGGAGAGGCCTTGGCCAGTCTAGTGGAAGTAGCCGCTATTGTGGATATCACCACACGACCGCGGGGATCAGTCCAAACCTTGACCAAGATTTTTGCGTATGGCAAAGAGAAGTCCATCAGTGTTTCTAAAGTTCCCAGGCCAAGTGTTGGAACCACAATAACTGTCCAGGATTTTATGTACAACATGCCTGTCCGCCGAAAGTTGATGAAAGAGGCAATTGACATTGAAAACATAAGAGTACGATTGGAAAGCTTTGCCCTCATACACCCAAAAATATCACTCAGTCTAAGAAATGACAGTGGCCAGTCAAAGGTGATGCACACCAATAAATCAAATTCTACTTTGTCAACTTTCATGCAGCTGTTTGGTTTGGAGAAGTCTCAGGGTCTAGTAGAGGTAGACCATACAGTTGATCAGTTTACAGTAACCGGTTACATCAGTGTCCAGCCACACCTGACCAAAGCCCTGCAGTTTATATATGTGAATAAGAGAGTTGTGCTGAAAACAAAAATACACAAGATGATGAACTATCTTTTGGCTCGCACATCGATCATAAGCAATAGACTCCACCCAGCAGCACCTCTTCCAGGAAAATCTCCTTCTAGCCCACCAAAGGGGTTGAAACTGCATGGCATATATGTAATCAATATTGAGTGCCCTCCAAAAGAGTATGACATATGCATGGATCCCACAAAGACTCTTGTAGAATTCAGGGATTGGGACAAGCTGCTTCTCTGTATAGAAGAAATGGTTATTAAGTTTGCTGAGGAAGAGAGACTGGCCATATCTCTTGACGAGCGATATAGAAGATCTGGGCGGGACCAGGTAATGGCTGAGGAGGAGAGTCAGGCTGAGCCTCATAGCAGCCAGGCTCTGTTACAGGTATTTAGTCTCAAAAGATCAGGAGAAAATAGTAACTCGAAAGGGGAGCCTCAGGAGAAATATGGTAGAACACTCTGCACTTATGATAACTTGTCTGCAGTTCACAGTATCCCTGTCAGAAGAAAAAATAATGACAAGAACAGTCAGAGGTATAATGAGATAGATTCTGATGATGATGAAGTTGTACTGAGAGCTGATGAGGAAAGAGAGATTGATAATGAAACTTATCATCCATCAGACGTATGTGTAAGTAAAGAGACTGATGTTCTTATTTCAGAAAGAATAGGTGAAAGTTGTGATAACAATTCTCCAAGTTCCAGCTCAAAGCAAAGCTTATCACCGAGAATACCAAGTACAAGAAGTCCAGAAAAAATTCAGGAAGCCAGAAATAAAGTTCGTAGTTCTTTAGATATGTTTAGGAGAATGATTACTCAAAGTGACAGTGATGCATCCACTCCACATCCTCCTTGTGAAGATCATTCTGTGAGCAAGGCAACTGTTTTAAGAGAAACAGGAAGGTCAAACAGTGAAACACACGACGAAGCTTACAATAAAGACACCAACAAAAAACGTAGTTCTTTAGAGGAATTCAGAAGTTTTTATAATGAAGATCTAAAAAAGTGTAAACAGGAATCATATGAAACTCCCAAGGAACTGATTAGAAGCCCTCCCAGAGAGCCTCCACCTCTTAGGGTAGCATCATCCCCTCCTACTTCTACAGAAGATATATCACAAGACGCTTGTGTGCTTCCAGTAATTAAAAATAGGGGAGGGGATGAAGGTCAAAAATATAAAAAATCTCTCAGCAAAACCCTCAGTGAAGGATGGAAGAAGCATCAAGCAAAAGCTGAATCTTTAAAATGTCTTCAGAAATTTGAATTCCAAAGGAAGTCATCTGATCAATCCAGATGCATCAAGGAGAGCACGAGTTATGAAGTGGCGCAGAGAGGTAAGGATAGTCCCAAATCAGATCTCAGCAACACTGAACGCAAGACCAGGTATCAGACCAGGAAGTCATTACATCACAAAATGAAAGACTCAGTAACAGTCCAAACATCAGATATTGAATCTGATAATGATGCCAGTGGAAAAGCTGCGGATCTTGACTGCAGCTTTAAATTCCAGCCAGTGCTAGAGTCAGAAATCAATGAGGTTAAATCTCCCGAAAATGAAGGGATTCTAGATGATACTTTTAGCCATACGTCTACAGACAGACTTCAGAGAACGAGTTTAGGTTCTAAAATAGTCACATTATCTAAAGAACCTACAGGGAGATCTACACAAAATGCAGTGGCAAATGATGATAACAAGTGTAGTGAAATAGGCGATTCCAGAGAAGAGATCGAGAGACTTATTCCAGATAAAAACTGTGTGGAGAACAGTAAAAATCATGAAGTCCATGAACCTTCAATATCCCAAGCAAGTGATACGGAAGCATTTACAACTGATAATGAGCCAGACCTTGGTCATCAAGAAGTAAACCAATCTGGAAATATGAAAAAATATACATTCCAGACAGATTCTGAACAGGGAGAGATGTCTGCGAAAGATTATCATACTGCAAAGAAGAATTCTAATTACTATTGTAAAGAAATATCCCCAACACAACCTTTTGTCATTGAAGGTATCTCCAGTGAAAAAAATAAGACTTGTAGCACACAAGAAGTTATCACAGAGCAAAGTTCAGACAAAGTGCAAGATGATACTCAAGAAGGTAGTAGACTTCTGTCTGCTTTTATTGATGATGATCCTGTGGACTCTACAGACAAATGTAATTTAAAAGGTAATGACCTAGAGGTACCTGATGCACCAAAGAATGTTAAACAGTTAAAATTGTGTCATTCAGAAAATGATAAGGATGTTTATATGGAGTATGTAGGAGAGAATCAAACTATTTGCAACTCAATAAATGCTTACAGCATACAAGAGCATGATGAAGCCTTACCATGATGAACCACCTTCTAAGGACAATTATCCAAATTCTGAAGTAAACTTCAGGCTTTGTGAATCAACATCACAAATTAGCAGTACTGAAAATGATATCACAGAAAGCCCTATATCTAATGGAAGCTTTAGAGCAGCAGTTGCAGCTATCATAAGTAGTGATGAGTACAGTCAAATGGAGATGAAGAGTCACAATAGATATATCCAATCACCACCTCACAATTCATCAGATAACCCAGGCTCGCAGAATCCCCTATCTGCATCTATTCATTTCTCAGAGCTCACCATACCTAGCACTGGAGATTCTCCATCAATTTCTCAGTGTGCATCATCACTTGGTGATACTTGTAATGCTAAAACTCTTTTTGGCTCCAGTGTTCCAAGTCTTAGCAGTGACACTTCATGCATGACAGAGAAACCAGAAAGTACAAAAAGCAAATTTCCTTCTTATAACATAGTTTTCCATGGCAAAATGATACATATTGATGGTAAAAATCCATCAGAAGCACCTACGGATCAGGGAGGAGTGTGTCATACAATAAATCAAGAAACATCACCCAAGCTGTTGGAGCAAAATAGTTCTAATTTAGAGTCGGAAAGCTTATTCGAAAAAACATCTGGAAAAGAGAAAGATGATTTAGTAGAATCAGATGTTCCAATTAAGAGCTCAAGTGGTATAGAGTTTAGCAATGATAATCCTCAGAATTCAGAGGATAAGGTTTTTAACAATGAAATTGTAAGCAAAAAGGCAACAAGAAAAAATAATCCAGTACATTTAGAGGATAACAGTAGTTGTGACACGACACACAGTTCTAAAGCTGACTGCATAATGGAGCACAATCCAAAGCAGTCAGAAAGTAATTATCTCAGGAATTTGTGGAAGGAAGCAAATGATGAAAGTGGAAGGAAAGTTTACATAAACCTCCAAACAGGAAACACATCTTATGAAGCTCCAGTTGTTAAGGAAATGCCAGAATGGACGAGCAGCCAGCCACAAGGGGCCCCAGTTCTCAAGATCCCTTTGTCTGAAGAACCCGAAGCCGAAGGAAGCCGCCAGAAGCAAGATTTTGTCCTCACACATGGATATAGTGCTTTCATGTCATGGAAAAAGAGAAGGGAAATGCAGAAGAAAGAAATGGAAAAATCAGAGATTAAGATATCAGGCTGTGCTTATGATAGCAGAGATACACAGCAGGATCAGTATAGGCAAGAGGCAGTCAGCAAAGAAGGAGAAGAATGTGAGTCACTAATTTCTCCAGGAATGAAGGAAGCCATACAGTCTATCCTGCAGGACTCAGAAATGGATGATGATTCCATTAAGTGGTCTGAGAAACCATCAAATTTAGGCAGTTTAGAGGAAGATTCATCAGAAGTGGCCCAAATCTGTCAAGAATGGGAGCCACCAACATTTGCCATGGATGCAGATATTTTGAGTTCAAAAGTTCAGGCAGGCAGTGAACGAGGAGTGAATAAGGACTCATCTGTAAAGATATATAACATTGTCCATCCATACAAGTTCTCTCAGGAGATGCTTCAGACCTGCAGGGTAAGATATTTGCAATATTGATATGCTGGGATGAGAAAGAGGCTTCTTGGAAGTAGATATATATTGTCATTATTCTTTATCATTCTTTCATTCTTACTCTCAACATGACGGCTGGCTTTTAAATGGTTCTTCAGAATATGCAAGTTCTATGTAGCCTAAACAATATTTTTAAGGTATCTAAAAGAATTAAAAGTTTACTTCCCATAGAATAGAAGAATGGTAGGAAGTAATAGAAAAAGCATGTGTTCTGTACTTATAAGTATAAGTGTTAATTGCATCATATTCTTGCAGGTATTAGGCCAGCTGGACAAGAAGTTCATAGCCTGTGAAATTACTTACACTTCTTCTGATCCAACTCTACACAAAGTGAGTGAAATAATAGTACTTTTTGACCAACATGCAGTCCATGAGAGAGTGCGTCTCGAGACCCTCACTGAAGAGAACTACGAAACCCTAGAAAATGGAGAGCGTGTGATTCGCACTTGTATGATTACACCACCCCTGGAAATGACCCTGCCGGAGAGTGAAGTTAGACTGATGATGGCATATGCAAAAACATTCATACTGTGGGGTCTTCATTTCACACAGGTATTTGTAATGGTTATTATTTTATCAACTTCATTTAACTTCTTTTTTTTGCTTGAACCAGAAAAAATTCTTCTGAAATTGCATTTTATATGATATTTTTAATATGTGGAAGAGTGCATCACTGCATACATTTGTACAATCAGTTTTGTTACCTGAACATCTGCCTCATATATGTTTGTTTTCTAACTTTCGACATAGGTCAGTGCATCACAGGTGAATTTCCAATCTATACCAAGTATTCTGGTTGCACGGGAACGACATGAGCTTCGTCAGCGTCGCTGCCAGTCAGCGACAGCCATTATTGAGAGCATTGTGCGAGATGTCTGTTACACCCTGCACCAGACCGGTGGTATTGTCTCAACAATGCCAAAACCCTTAATGAATGTCCTTTGCAGCCAAGCTTGTAGAGGTAGGTTGAGCCCATTAGGCACACACACACACCACACCACACACCACACACACACACACACACACACACACACACACACACACACACACTCTCTCTCTCTCTCTCTCTCTCTCTCTCTCTCTCTCTCTCTCTCTCTCTCTCTCTCTTCTCTTCTTCTCTTCTCTCTTCTTCTTCTTCTTCTTCTTCTTCTTCTTCTTCTCTTTCTTCTTCTTCTTTCTTTTTTTTTCTTTTTCTTTGTTTACGAATCTGCCACTTGTTTTTCCAGATTTTCCAAAATAAAATTAATAGAGAAATCAACTCTTTTTCCAGCCGCACCTGATACAATATAGTTTGATTCTGATCTGCATTTCTAGTGAGTTATACCTATAGAAACCTCCATAATTGATGGTATTTACCATTTGTCACAAGCACAATATGTCACCGGTTCTGTCAAAGGATACCATTCCTGTCTGTGGGCACATGAACAATACTGGAACAATACAATCAGGATTTTTTCTTTTCTTTTCTTTTCTTTTTTCTTACTGCCTGCCACATTCCCAGAAATCAATAAACTGTTGTAAAAAAATCAAAACACCCAGTTATTTTCATTTTTATTTTGCGACTGCCTGTTAGAGGTTTTCAGAAGTAAAATCCGCAAACCAAGGGATAAGGTGATTGAGGCCTTAGGTCTTATTTTTCTTTACACCAAAATCATATGCATTGTAGAATTTTTTTTTTATGATTTACTTAGGTATTTCCTTGAAATTTTATAATTTTCTTTATTTTTTCTCAGCATTTGTGTTCATAAATTTTAAAAAGTAATGCAGATATAAGTCATTGATTTTATGATTTTCCAAGATAGAGCTGAAGATACCGTAAACGTAAGCATAACCTGTTTTTTTTTATCTTTGAATGGACTTCAGGAGCTATCAAGTTTGGAGATGAATTAAGTTATGATGAGTGTAAAAATCTAGTGAAGTCCCTGTCCTCTTGTGCACTGCCCTTCCAGTGTGCCCATGGACGTCCCTCAATCGTCCCTGTGGTTAATCTGACACACCTTGCAAAGGGAAGGAAAAAAGTAAGTAGAGGCAAGAACACCTTGATACAACTTGACATAAGTGAACAGTTTTCCTACTTGGAATGCATCATACTCAAAAATGAAATCATGTTTTCCTTCTGTAGAAAAATTAATATATATCCATATGATTTGATCTGTAATATATTTAATTGCAATTTTCCATAATATGGGAAAAACACCATTTATTTTCATTATCTTGCCTTTGCAGGAAAGGAAACCCAACTTACACAAGCTAAGAGAAGCTATTGAGGAGGAAATGTTGGGTGAAGAGATCATGGACTAATCAATTGGAAAATGAAAAATCATCCTTGTACTGAATGGAATGGGTTTTGTTTTTGTGGAAATGAGCACATTTTTCTACTTCACCTTCAACCCAATGCCTCTGGGAAAATGTGGTGTTCACTGTAATATTGTTGTGTGGAGTGTCTCTACAGATAGATGGTTGTGCAAGTGCTTAGCCACAGAGGAGGCAATTAGCAGACCTTGTAACCTTACCTAATTTCACCTTTCCTTGAGTTTGATATTTTTTTCCTAACACTATCAATATTGATAGTTATTTTTTTACTATAGACATCATAATTTATTAATTGTTAACAGAAAATAATGTCAAAAATCAAGGAAACAGTTGAGACAGGTAGTACTCATAATTGGCTCATTAGTCTCTTAGTACTTGTGGTGCCATCTATGTGCAAAAATATCACCTATATTAAACACAGTGGGCATGGCATTTACAAATATGCCATCCCCAGCGGCTTGAGGTTAAATTTGTGTGTTTGTCTTGACATTTGATTTGCAAGAGTAGGTCAATGTAACAAGTTTGGTACATATTAAGATTCAAATTATTTATACCAAAGACTATCATGCCAGGTAACAGAAATCTAGTTTTTCTGTGCAAGTGCCTTACTGGAAGAATAGGTTGTGATATTTATTTTAGATTAAGTTCAGTGAAATGGATTTTGGGAAGTAGCTTTTCAAAATGTATATATTTTAATATACAATAAACTTACTCTGTTATATGTTGTTATCCAAGAAGATTCCATTAAAAGGACTTCTTTTTGTCTTTGTTTTTTGCTTTTAAATAAATCAGAGGTTTATTCATGAAGCTTTTAATTATCTATTATCACAGTTTGTTCTATTATCCCAAAGTTTGAACAAAAGGAAAATTTGAAAGGCTTTAGAACCCAATAAAAATTTTATTCTTAATTTTCTTGTCTGAAATAAAGATAAAATAATATTTAAACAATTTATTACTTGTGTGGCTCCAGCAAAAAGTCAACTTTACAATGGAAGAATGGAAAAAAAAAGATCTGGCAATCATTCTACATACAAAACAAAGTCATATTCTCAACTAAATTTCTCGTATTAACAACAATATTTTCAAGAGCCACAGAAATGTCTCTGAATCCATCTTAGAACTTAAAGTCCTTGTACTTCTTGGCTGGCTTAGCTTGGTCTTGTTGCTGCTTCCTTCTCTTATTCCGCTGCTTTGCCGCATGTTCAGCCACCATATCTGAGAAGTCTTCTTCTTCCCCCTTCTGCTGTTCCCTGAGAGTAGCTTCATAACGTGCAGCCATGGCATCGGTGTCCACCAAATCTAATTCTGAGGGATCAAGCGCCACCTCGACTCCCTGTGGTGCTGAACGAGCTGCTGCCCCACCTACACCTGCAGCTCCCAAGTCATAGGTGTGTGTTGAGCCCATCATTGCACGTCCCATGGTCTCTGTGCGCTTCTCTGGGAGGATAGTGTATAGTGCTGGAGTGTCGCCACCTTCCATTTCTGTTTCCATGCGTTTCTTTCTCAATTCAATCATGTCTGGGGTCTCCAAGCCAGCTGGTAATGAGCTAATGCCTGAAGGAGTGACTAGACCAGTTTCTCCAGGAGTTACTAACCCACTGACATCCTCATCAGATTCCTCCTCACTCTCTTCTTCTGACTCCTCTTCACTCTCACTTTCCAGTTCTCCCCACATAGTCCTTTCTACCTCCTCTTCTGTTAGCGGTGAGTCAAAATCTTTGCTCTGGGTACCAAAGACATCACCATATATAGGTTTACCCATATTATCTACAGGAGGTTTACCCCAGCCACCTGCATGGTAACCAAAACTACAGCCTTCAGGTATAGGTGAATTGAGGCCAGGTATTTTTAGGTTTGGATATGATGGAGGTGGACCATAACGCTGCATGGCAATGAGCCATGGAGGCGGGACTTTGTGTGCATTAGCACCCACAGGCATACCCAGGGCTATCCTCAGATCATCACTCATTTCTCCAGGTTTCTTATCTTTCATCTTTGTTTCAAATTCTTTGCCCTCATAGTAAAGGTCTCCATGTATTGTCATCTTGGGTTTGGTCTGCCACTTGAAGAAAGCATCATGGAGCTTCTGATAATCAATGTCAATCTTACCCATCTTGGGCCTGACCTTGTCTCGCATCTTTGCCTTGAGTGTCTTTTGATCCTCTTTCTCCTGTAAGGCTGCTCTCATCTCCATAATTCCTGTACGTTTGATGAAGTCTGGCAGCTCGAAAGGAGGCTTTTCAATACCACGCTTACCTTGGAGGTACTTGCGCTTGAAGCACCAGTGTCGTGGGACAGGTACAGTATTTCTTGTGGCTTTTAGGTGCACCAGTAACTTTGGGTCCTTTGCTGTGACATCATGCATTTCAACTACATCTGGACGACTCACTGTCTGCTTTAGTTCTGCAATGCTCATCCGCTTAAGCAGTTTCATTTTTCTTTTGGATAACTTTGGCTTATCATCCTCCTCTTTTTTTATGTCATCATCATCATCATCGTCATCATCCAAGGGAATCCCTGGAACCTTTGAACCAAGTTTCTTTGGATCCACTAGTGGAATTTCTGTCTTGGGAACCACTTTCTCCTCTTCCACCTTTGGCTCTGGTTCTGCAATACGGAAAGCCTCAAATATTTTGGCAAAATGTCTGTAATTAGGATCAGTGATATCGAGGTCAATAGTATCCTGCACATATTCAATCTCAATGTTTGGATCCTCTGCATCGCTTTTGTCCTTCTTCAACCTCTCATTCCTTTGCCTGTCCAACTCCTCCTGGAAGCGATGACGTCCCTTCCTCTTCTTCTTTTTCTTTTTCTTGCTCTTCTCCTGCTTGCTCTTCTGATTGGGTTCCTCTGGGGCTTCGTCGTCTTCCTCTTCATACCCAGTTGGAATAAAGGAGGGCTGAGTTTTGGCCACAGGCACAGGGGGACGTGGCTGAGGTGGAAGGCTCTCCAGCTCATCCATGCCAGCCAGTCCTTCTCTCTCAACCTTCTCCACATCTTCTGGATTCACACCCACCTGGAAAAGAATGCTCAAATAATTTCTATTCTATTTTTCTTTGGTATCTTCCTTGTACTTAGAAGAAGGACAAGTTTTAGATAAAATGCATTGTATTTATGGCGCGTTGGCGTATTTGAGTGTAGCTTGTTTACTTATAGCTGCTATGCAAAAAGCAAAAAACTTGCAATACATGCAAACATATGTAAATGCGCTCAGAAGAAGCACAATTCATTTGGCAGTATAAGATAACTCAATAAGCTTTTAATTGCACGGTGCATCTGATTCCGCAGCCTATTTTTCTTTGGTATCTTCCTTGTACTTAGAAGAAGAAGGCTTCATACAAAACAAGTTTTAGATAAATGCTTCTGCTTTTATAACAAGCCTTTCTTAAACAGGAAATGCTGTGTATATAATTAATGATATCAACAGGATGATCTTCAAAACAACAAAAGCATGAGCTAGATGAAAAAAGAAGGAAAAATATAAAATAAGCAATCTCCAAACCCAACATATACAAACTTACTCCCACTCCCATCCTCACAGACTAGATATGAGATCCACGACACATGTTGCAGAAATCTGCATTAAAAAGATTCCTAAGCAGTAATTTTCTCTCATGACTTCTCAAAGAACTAAAACTAGAAAGTTCATTTTCATACACTGAACTTTTCCATTATTAACCCGTTGGATCTGGTTGCTTCATAGCAATCACATGGCCCAAAATAAAGGCCCTAGACTTACATGAGCAACTGCTGTGATGGATGCATAGTTTGTAGGCCAGACGCACACAAACACACGTGCAGTGACATGACTTTATGCCTCCCCTTTGCAATGTTCTCTTTTTTTACATAAACATTTTTACTTTTTTAGCCAATTTTCAATGTGCCTAGTTTTCATTTGATTTGTTTTATCAAGGTGCTAACAGATTCCATATCATCTTTCTTGGTAGTCTATAAAGGCCCTATCACACTAACACTATTTCCATCAATTTTTGCCTTTCCACCTGAATTTGAGGCTTTCCGCAAGTATCATTTACAAATGGAATTCCTCCCAGATGAAGGGTTATGACCATTTCCGTCTGACTAATATCCCTATTGATCTTGTGCCACAGAGGATCTATACAGCTAGAATATTTTTTATTGATAAATTATATTTTATGGTAAATTTTATTTTTTCATAACATTTAATTTTCTGTAATACAATCTGTGTTGATGGTCACAGCAGCTAGGAATAGAATGCTAAACATGGAAATGGTATCTTCCCTGGAGCTGTTGCTCTTCGAGTCATGGCTTCATGGACACTAAATTCCACACTTGTTTATCAACAGAAAATAATGCAAAAGGCCTTTTCTAAATGCCAAATGAGTCTAATAACCCTCCAAGAAGTTTTTGCTACTCATGGGGAGTCTTTCAAGGCACCCCAGCCTTCAGCCCAAATGCTCATGATGGTAAGCTCACGTCACCTCAGCCCACAGCCAGATTTTCCTTAGCAGCATATTCATGTCACCCAGCCCTCAAGCCAGATTTTTTCAGGACGTGATTGAAGGAGTTAACAAACATTGATCAGACCAAGATTTTGGGCTACACATTTAACCAATTCATAATAGGTAAAATTTTGGGTAAAGTTTGGCTCACTGTCCAGCATGCTAACTGTAATGCTGGTGAATGGGATGTAGCCTCATGATGTGATTAGGCATTGTCCAGTCTGGGATTTTTCAGTATGACATGGTAGCATAGCACCCATCATAAATGGGTTAAAACAGCACAAGTAATTCCTTGGTCACATACTTAGTTTTAACTGCCATAAATTTTTCTAAACTGTTTACAAATTTGCTCATTTTCAAAGACTTTCCACTTCCCTAAGATCTTGGTGCCAAGCCATAAAGTGCAAACTAAGCAAAATTATGGATTTAACTCTATACAACCTACTTTAACCCATTTAATCTGGATGATGTATATATCACACCATGAAAAATATTTGGCTGTCATGATATATTGTTACTGAATGGCGAGTAATGGGGATATTCTTCTGAGTGCACATAGCTCTTTGAGGGAGATTAGACTTAATGGACCTTTAAGAAGGGGGCTCTTGCATTATCTCCAATGGTAAACAAGGGTGGAATGTACCGTCTGTGAGACATGTCTAAAAGAGCAGAGGGACAAGTGAAGATACTGTCTTGACCAGTGCACAGTCTGTGTTACTGAAAATTTACTATTATGGAAAAAAATGACATTGTTACTTATTGTTATTGTTACTACACAGAGGTGTAGACAAACTGGAGAGCTAATGTGAAGTCTGCACAATGAAAACAGTCTACTACCATCTTCATACAGCAAAACAAATCGCATATAAACCTTGGAAAATATATGCAGAATAAGAGATAATAGCACTGGAAAAAGGAGGCCAGGAGACAATGCTTAATATTACAGTTCATGAAGGCTGAGCCTACAAGATACAAATCCAGGAGTCGACATTCAAGTAAAGTAAGGCTAAAGCCAGGATTTTGGTCCTCATGCGAGCCACAGGTTACCCACATTGAACAAGTACAGTGCATAGTATGAAACCATCTTAATAGACATTTGAAGAAAACCAGAAAAAACTAAGCCTGTGTATTAGGCCTCAGTCACTTTATATAAACTCCCCATAACTGAATCTGAAAATATTGTAGTTAATTAAAAAGCATCAAATGTAAAATGTATGACAGCTTAAGTTCCCACATACTGCCATCCTTCACAAAAAGATCTGTTTTTCTTACCTGCTTGGCACGTTCTGTCTTGAAGGCCAGGGCCTGCTCCAAGGCCTGTGGTAGCTTCACCTCACGAGGAGTCTCTTCTTTGGGAGCTGTTACATGCAGGGACATAAGTGGAGGCGGCTTCTCGTTCTTGTCTTGGTTTTCACCAGGGGGCCCCATAGTAGGAGGAGCAGCACCTAACAGCCCTGCACCCTGTGAGCAGTAAGAGAAATCCAATGAGGAACTTTTATTAACCCACTAAAGACGGGGGTAAAAATATATGAAAAAAGTGCAATTATGTACTCTACAACTTACAAAAAGTAAATACATAAAAAATATAATTTAGATTCCCTCAAATGGTTATCTTTCTATACTCAAAAGACTGGAGCAATGTAGACTTTGTCAGGAACAATCCCATATAAGGTATGCATTTGTAGTGCAACCTTAAAAGATCTAAAATCTCTAATATTTTAGATCCAATGTGGAAAATATTTTACATATATTTCAAATTAAGAAAATACCGGAGGTCTGGGTGAAGTGTTTGCCATAGGCATAGGCGGACGCTGTGCTGCAATGGAGGTTGGTGCTCGAGTTGTAGCTGTTTGAAGAAGTGGAGGCCTGAGAGGTGGCTGCTGTGGTGAGGGTGTGGACTTGGGCACAGACCCTGGTGCAGGGCCCAAGAGACCAGCACTTGGGATGGGGGCTGGGCCTGTGAATCCAGCAGGACCGCCAACATTGATTGGTCCTTGAGGATGTGGGGTGAATGATGTTGCAGGTGGTGGCACAACCACTGAAGCCTTAACACCAGGAGGCCCCAGAACTGGAACTGTGCCAACCCCTGGTGGTACTGGAGTTACAGGTGCAGGTGCAGATGCCCGTGGGATTGGGGCCGTAATGCCTGGAGCACCTGCTGGTGCAGCTGGTATCTATAAAACAAAACATACCTCAACCAATGGAAATTTCATGAAAAGTATATACCAATAAATGTCTTATGCATACTCATCACTTTCCATAAAACTATTGATAATCAAAGTTTAAACTACATATCAACCTTTTCATCACTGATTTATAACTAATAACTAAAAGAAACAGTAAACTTTCAGGCCTATCCTGCAGTTTCTTGTCAGAAATAAATAACAGATACAATGTCTAAAGTCATCCTCAACTAGCATAGAAGACAATCATAAAATCCCTTACTTTATGTTCTTCTTCCTTCTGTTTCAGAGCCTCCCTCTGCAGCCTTAGCAGCTGCACTTGTTTCTCGTGTTCTTCCCTCTGCTTTTCCTTCAGAGCTGCTTCTTGAAGACGGTACAGGTCTTCCTGCTGTTTCTGTTGCTGCTGCTGTTCTAAAAGCCGCTGTTGCTCCCTGACCTTCTGCTGCATCAGTCGTTCTTCCTCCAACTGTCTCTGACGGGCTAACATCTACCAAAAATTGCAGAATATAGAACAGGAAATACCAATCCAATGTTTTCTGGTTTCCCCCCCACAAAAATCTATTTTCTACTAAGAAAGCTTTATTAATTATAAAAATGTATTTCATCTGACTAACCTATAATCTCATCAATTCTTGATTACTATAATAAACCATAAACAAGATAATAAGTATAATACACTTGAAAAATAAACAACAACAAAATCACCTCACCTCTTCTTGTTCCCTTGCCTTCCTAAGGAGTTCATTCTGATCCTGAGGTGGTTCCCCTTGCTCTTGCTGTGGTGGCTGAGCTTGCTGCTTTAGCTCCTGCTGTTGCTCCTGCTGGTGTATCTCATGCCCCTCTTCCTCCTCCTCTTCCTCCACCACCATGTCCTCCTCCTGCTGCTGCTCCTCCAGTTCTCTGTTCTCTGCTTGCCCCAGCTGGTCTGCGTGGTCTCCCTCTTGGCCTCCCTCATCCATTTCCCCATCTAAATTGAAAACATGTGATTTTATCCATGTATTTCTAACCATAATGCACCTTCTAGCTATAAATCACAACAGTAATAATAGCATCAATAAAAACAAATCTGTTCAAACATTTCACAAAACTCGAGTACAATTCCATCCTACTCACATTAGGCTACCTTACAGAATATAATACAAATTACACTACCTTTGTCCTCTTCCATATTGGCAGCCTCTTCCTGGGCAAGCAGGTGTTGATAAAGTCGTTCCACAAGCTCACTCTTTAGACCTGAAAGGACGGAAGAACAGCTAATGATGAAAAATTCTCTCATCTTACAATGTCCATCTTCTGTTGCAATAATAACTGATACAGTAATAGATGAGTAAAAGAGCATAAAATAAAAAGAATAACAATAATTATTACTATTACCATTACATTTTAAAACAAAAATAACAATAATGATGCAATTATATTAATGACAATAATAGTTATCATAATAATAATATAATAATAATATAATAATAATAATAATAACAACAATATCATTATCATAATGGCCATTATTACTGTACTACAAATACTACTCCCATTCCTTCTTAGCTTCCTTCCTTCCACACTTCTTCCATCATTTTTCTTTCCCCTTCCCTCCATTTTTCCCTCCATACCTTTTTTTCCCTTCCATATTCTTTCCCCTTCCCTCCTTTTTTCCCTCTCCATATTCTTTCCCCTTCCCTCCTTTTTTTCCCTCTCCATATTCTTTCCCCTTCCTTCCTTTTTTTCCTCTCCATATTCTTTCCCCTTCCTTCCTTTTTTTCCTCTCCATATTCTTTCCCCTTCCCTCCTTTTTTCCCTCTCCATACTCTTTCCCCTTCCCTCCTTTATTCCCTCTCCATATTCTTTCCCCTTCCCTCCTTTTTTCCCTCTCCTTATTCTTTTCTTCCTTCCTTTCCCTCTCCCTTCTCCCTCTTACTACGACTATGACTACAACTACTACTACTACTACCAATAATAACAATAACACTAAAACTTGTATTAATACTCATAATACTATTAAAACAAATACTAATAATAATACAATGTTAATAATAATTATCATTATAATTATAATTGATTACAACTTTCATAGTTACTAATAATCATAATAACAATTATAGTAATAAATATAACAGTAACACTGATACTGATAACAATAAAATAAAAACAATAATAATAATAATAATAATAATAATAAAACGACAATAACAGTACAAACATTATTAGACATCAAAAGAGTTTTTAATCTAAACATAAAATAAGAAAGAGACTAAAATGGTACTATCATTTCTATTACTTTTAGCAGTAATATTGCAAGCTTACTGTTAATTGTGGAAAAGTTGAAGTTTACTAATCGTCTTGTACAGTAGAGAGAGAATGAATAAAATAAATAAATAAATAAATAATAAATAAATACAGTACATACATCTAAAATACAGTGTTATTTTCATACCATTACTACGTTTGTAACTGGCAAAAACTGTCATCATATTTATAAACTTAGCATTTCATGACATAAGTTTTAATGTTAACCACTAGCAGACGGGTGGCATGTACATACAAGCCATAGCTATTGCAGACCGAAAAACGGATGGCAATGTACCATGCCCATTCCCGTGCCATTGCTTGTCGGGCGGGGTATGATTTCTCCAATAGTAGCAGCTTCATTTATATGGTAAAGATTTTAGGCAATGGCACCTATAATGAAGGTAAACCACCTTCAAAATTATATTTTTATAAATTACAGCAAAATAAAAGCTTTTAGGTGCCAAATGTTGCTTACAAACTAACGAATGAGCCGAGCGCAAACAGGGGAAACTGTCTATGCACGCCAACAATCCTGTTATTAAGTCCACTTGCCAAACATTTTTACCTGTCAGCATTGGGTTAATAATACTAAGTAATCCCCATGCAGGTAATTTTACAGAAAAGTTCTGCCTAATGAATCACAACAATTTCTATAGTTGGATTCTTTCACTCTCTACTATTTAATCATATAGAAACTCCATATTCTTGGCCCGATTGCAGGGGAAGGCATGAAAGGTACCAGTGAAATTGCAGGGTAAAATATAAATATACAGAATCATTATCTTAGTGCCTTATTGCTATAGACAATAAAGGGGTGGTAGCTCCCCCATGGGGGGCTACCATTCCCCAAGCCCACCCAAGAAAAAGAATCCTCGGTAAAAGCTAACGAGACCGACGCCAGGTGATAGAGGGATATGGACACTGCTATCTTGTAAAGCGGGAGAAATAGAGTAGGATACATCATAGTTTAAGCAGCAGCAGCCTAATAGTCACTGCTAAATGACAAAAATATACCTTGTTATCACCGCTCAGATTCTAAGTCCTGCATCTTGTTTACTTTGCAAGATAACACAACACTGATCGCTTAACTCATTACTACGATATCCATAGTTGTTCATGGGTTACCATGCGCTTGTCAAAACAATATTTGGCTAATTATCAGTGTCTGCTGATACACATTTATGCTTTTAAAGTCTTTTATTAATGTTATTATACTTCACTTATGTATTTTTAAGATTTATCTATACCCTAATTTAGAATTATGTGCGCATCGTGCGTTTCACACTTTCCTTTGCCAGCCGCCAGGTTTGACAGTTCCAAGCCGGTCATCTTGGGGTAGAACGCCGCTGAGAAATGTTGCGTTTCCAGTTTTGTGTTGATCCTGGATTATTCTTAAGACTATACAGTGACAACGAAGAACAAATAGACTTCAGTAACTATCCCAGTTTAATATCTGGGCCCATCAAGAGCTCCAAATGCCGAAAAAAGTGATTAAAATTGAAGCAATCCAGACAGTAGAAAGAAGCAAACAAAAGTTTTACGTTTCCAGATATAAAGGTATTTGGTTTATTATTTTACGGTGTGAATGCAGCTCTATCTTGCTGTACACACCAAGGTGAGGAGAAAGTGTCCCAGGGAGTCTCTGCCCCCCATCAACCCTCTCCTCAGGCAGTCGCCTAGTCACGGCAAGTTAAATTGTTATATTAGGCTGGATTATTGGTCAATACATTTTTGTTTTTTTTTTTTGAATTTTGCCGCATCAGTCCATAGAATTTCAAAGATGGCAATTATGTCTGTAAAGTCTTATTGGCCAATTTTAAGTTTTTTTTTTTTTTTTTTTGTAGAAGTACTATGCATTTTTGATCATCATTATTCTTATTTAAGCCTGTTTTACCCCATAATTTCCCTGACATACTTCATGCCCTCCCCTACTAATGGGACTATCAAATCAAGATCGTCGATGGAGAAATGGTACTCAAACTCCTCAACGATTCATTCGCGGAAGAAACAATGCCAAGAATTGATGAAATCATTGGATTTCCTGCAGGAAAACATCAATTTTCTTTTACTGAGTCTATGGGAGGGTGCATTGCTATCGGTGACAATTACCATATCCTTCACCTATTAACAGCAGGAGTGTGTGTCAGACAGACTCACCACTGGGTGTTCCCGCATGTCAGTCAAACGCTCTCTCTTGCCATGAATATGGACAATATGTTATATATTATTCATATCTTACCTCGCAATTTCCCTGGTACCTTTCATGCTCTCCCGTTATCAAAGCCAAGATTGTCGCTAATGAGGCATTTCTGCACAATAGTTTCTATACACATGGATAGTAGGGAGTGAGAGGAATCCATTGATAACAAAATTGTCGCAATCCATTAATTACCCCCCTTCATGTTACTAGTAAATTCAGAGATAGGACTACCTCTTTATATGATAAATCAACATAGAGGTCTATCTTTGTGTGTGTGGGGGGGGGGGGTTGCTGGTAATTGCCACTGTCAACTGGCATTGGTCATATTAACCTGCATGACGTCAATTAGAGCACGACTGTAGTCTTCAATGCAAGGCAGGTTTACATGGAATTGGTAATGGGGTAAGGACAGGCTATATAAAGGTCGACTGTCCCGTGGAATCATTATACAACTAGTTTAGGGTAAAAACGTTGCAGATTTATAACAACTCGGGATGTTCCTTGCCTGTCCTCAAGTCTTAAAAATTCTCATTCTAACAAGGTAACTAAACCCTAATTCCTCGAGCATTTACCTCTGATACAAGTCTAAACATTCTCATTCTAACAAGGTAACTAAACCCTAATTCCTCAAGCATTTACCTCTGATAACTCACACCAAACCCAAAACATCTCTTAAATAACATCTACTCCATCACAGTAAAAACGCCACAGTATAAACACAACAAACGTTTATTTCCGAGAGGCTGTCCCGTTTCCTCCAACACTGTCAACAAGTCCACCTCAGCATGTATTACCTTGAGTGGGCAGCCCAAGCTCGGATAGTTTGGCCTTCAGGTCGACCACCCTGAGCTTGGCTAACTCCTCCTCCGTGACGGCCATGGCTGGTTAGGTCTTAATCACCCTAACAAGCAATCACGAGCCACTAAACGACCATTCGACATTTACATCCAGACGACTCGAGGCGAACTAAACATTGCCGAACTTGGCCGGTGGTTCTTCTCGGAGGCGAGGGACTACTCTCTTGGGATATGCTTTTATGTCGTTTATATCTCTGTTACGTTATATATTTTTTTCTTTTTGATTAGCGGGAGGAGTTTCACACATTGACAATATTTTAGGGGGGGATATAGGATTTGTGAGAGTGAATTCATCGAACAGGAGCTTATGTTTTTTTTTAACGTTTTACGTGTGTGTGCATGATTGAGTGTGTGTTGTATGGGTGTATAAATAAATATGAATACATGCATATATGTGCACACACACACACACACACACACACACACACACACACACACACACACATATATATATATATATATATATATATATAATATATATATATATATATGTATGTATGTATGTATGTATGTATATATATATGGTAGAAAAAAAGCACAATGCACAAACTAGATTTAATGAAATGAGTGAGACACACGTGTGCAGACATATAAGTAGGTATACATATTTTTTTCAGAATTTCCTTTTGTTCTGCACACTTACCACTCACGCAGGTATTTCCCTCTTGATCGCAACCTAGCAAGTTCGTATCTAATGGAGAAAACAAATTTAATTCCCTTTTCTGCACTCACTAATTCCTCTTGTTTCTCCGCCCAGCTCCAGTGCGTCCGTTCCCATACGAGATCAGGAGAGGACTGACCCTCGTGCGAGGTGGGCCTCTCTTAACCGAGGTCATTGTGGTGTCAGGCCACAACACGGCCGAGGTGGGTTCAGTCGGCTGTATAGGATTTTTACCCTTAAATCCCAGGCAAAAGGGGCTTTAATCGCTCACCACAGAACTTCTGGTGTCTGCAAAACATTTCGGGTGTTGGTGTCCACTCGCAGTTCACTCCCGCCACGCACTGTACAGCCTATTTTGTAACTTGTCTTAATATTTTCGGTATATTCAATTTTGTATTAATATTCTCGCTGATGGCACACGCACGCACAGACGCACACACACACACACACACACGTGTGTACTGTGAAGAGAGAGAGAGAGAGAGAGAGAGAGAGAGAGAGAGAGAGAGAGAGAAGAGAGAGAGAGAGAGAGAGAGAGAGAGACAGTTCTCAAGGAGAGAGAGAGAGAGAGAGAGAGAGAGAGAGAGAGAGAGAGAGAGAGAGAGAGAGAGAGAGAGAGAGAGAGAGAGAGAGAGAGAGAGAGAGAGAGAGAGAGAGAGCGAGCGAGCGAGAGGAGAGAGAGAGAGAGAGAGAGAGAGAGAAGAGAGAGAGAGAGAGAGAGAGAGAGAGAGAGAGAGAGAGAGAGAGAGAGAGAGAGAGAGAGAGAGAGAGCGGAGATCAGTTTGTTTCTCAGTTCTCTGAAAGGTAAAAGAGAAAATTTAGACCCACGTCCCTCTCAAAAAGTGTGGGCCCAATGCTAAAACCAAGGGGATTGGACGACATAATACGGGTCTGTTGATCTGAGACGTCCCTTGCCAATGCACGTCCTCTGCGTCCGCCTGAATATGGCACCGACTTTGACCACATCACTGAACAGAACATTTCCACTGTTATCAACGTAGGTATTAATATCCATGATCGACGGAGAGTAAAGATCTGATGGCAACATAGCACATGGGTGGGTTTTGCTGCACTTAGACAGGTAAGCTGCTTTTCGATCACTGGGCTCCAACATCAGCTGTCATCAACCTGTAGATTTTGAAGTACAAGAAGACATTGTCATCAACCTTCCAGCTGATCTCGAGTCTAGATCAGTGACAAAAAGCCAGCCATTGGGATCGTCGACAGTGATGAGTTAAAAATCTAAATTATGACATGCATTGCAATAGGAACTCATCAAACTGAATAGCTATGAAATGCAAAGAAAAACACAATGCCGTGTTGATAATATGGAAGAAAAACCCACAATGCACAAACTAGATCAATAAATCTAGCTATGAAATGCAACCTAATCATTATATATATGCTGGAAGGATAATTAATAAAGAAATTTCCCCACAGCATAAGTAAATGCGCACAGAGCTGACGCACGTCCCTCAACACAGACCAGGGTGAATTTGACATTGGTCTTGTGCCGATTTTTCTCCTGAAATATTTTGTGCGCCATGTGCCCAGTTCTGCCTGCGCCTTGACTGCGCCAGTCAGGTACAGAACTGCATCACACAATACCGGATTCACTGTGTATGGGAATGCTTTCAGTATGCAATATTGGATTTAAAATGTGAATGCACGTTTTGTTGTCTGGACAATGTGCCCAAACGTATCGAAGACGGCACCTGTCTAACAATGTCACGTGTCGAAGAGGGAAAACTGCAAATAATAAATAAATGTCTTTCGCACGCCAGAGTTGCAGCACTCTGCTTCTTCGCCGAAATGCCGCGCCATGTCAATCAGGGCATTGCCAAAACTTGCGCCGAAAGTTTTCTACCTCACGCTCTGCACCGAAGATTTCCGAAAATAAGCCCTTCAAATTCGCCCTGGAGCGGATATGCGAAAAGAGTGACCCTCCAGTCCATGCCTCGCTATCCTTCGTTATATTTTAAGTCTATCCTTCGTTCAGGATTGGCTCAGCGTTCACTCTGCAGTGGCTTCACCGCGCCACAGAACCGGCGCACAGTATGCATGTGAATGATCAATGTTGTAAACTGCAAATAATGAATAAACAGAGTTATCGCCGAAATAAATATTGCCAAAACCTTAAAGATTTCCGAAATTTCAAAAGCGGATATGGCGAAAAGAGTGCCTCCAGTCCATGCCTCGTGCTTCTAAGGTTATTGCTCAGAGCGAGCTCACTCTGCAGTATATCAGCTCACAGATCATGATGATTTAAATGAGAATAACATTGATTATTAGCTTTATATTTAAAGAATTTGGAATCGATACGTTCTTAGAATGACGTGGATATTATTATCATTATTATTATTATTATTATTATTATATTATTATTATTATTATTATTATTATCATTATTATTATTATTATTATTATTATTATTATATTATTATTATATTATTATTATTATTATTATATCATCATCATCATCATCATCATCATCATCATCATTATTATTACTTTTGATAAAAATACTGTCTTTATAAAACAGCACTGGAGTCAAAACTGTCGACAAGTAGATTTCCAAGATGGTCGACATTTTGGATTTGGAACATTAAACGGAGAAAAAAAAAAGAGAAATCAACTTGTGCTCATTATGGTCAAGGATTCACTTGTAAGTTATTTAATTACATCAGAATTATTGCAAATACATTTATTTATTTGTATCAAACTTATTGCAAATACATTTATATATCATTTTCTGTTATCATTATTATTATTGTTATTATTATTATTATTATCATTATTATTATATTATTATTATTATTATTATATTATTATTATTATTATTATATTATATTATCATTATTATTATTATCATCATTATGATTATTATTATTACTACCACTACTGCTATCATTATCATAATTATCATAATGGCATTGAGTGGGAACCAAAGTGCAAAATCGGTACATGTATATCGGCTTTACAAAAAAATCATTTAATATTTACCTTTCTTTAATGCGGCTCAACTTCTTTTAGAATATATATATATATGTATATATATATATATATATATATATATATATATATTATATATATATATATATATATATATATATATAATATACAGTGAAACCTCGTTTTTCGCGGGGGTTACGTTCCTAAAAGAACCCGTGATAGCGAAATCCGTGAAGTAGTAACCTTTTTTTTTTTTTACAATGATTATACAATGAAATACTCTACAATGCATTGAAACCAAAGAACAAAACCTTTTTACAGGCCCAAGCATTTGTTTAACAAATAAAAGTACTGTTTAAACGTTTTTTTTACAAATAACTACTGTACTGTAAAATAATAATTTTAATCATCAATACGAACTGAAGGCTTCATGGGTTATAGAGAAAATTTGCAAACTTAAATTCGGCAAGCTGTTTTACGTACATGTACATATTAAACCGTAACGTTATTGACACACAGGTAGAGAAGAAGCGGAGAGACTGTTTAGCCAATCAGAATGCAGAACACAATGCACAATGCAAATCCGTGAAGCAGCGAGAACGTGAAAGGTGAACCGCGTTCTAGCGAGGGTTCACTGTATATACCTATATATATATATATATATATATATATATATATATATATATATATATATATATATATATATATATATATATATATATATATATATATATATATATATATATATATATATATATATATATATATATACATAATATAATATATATATATATATATATATATATATATATATATAATATATATATATACATATATATATATATATATATATATATATATATATATATATATATATATATATATATGTGTGTGTGTGTGTGTGTGTGTGTGTGTGTGTGTGTGTGTGTGTGTGTGTGTGTGTGTGTGTTATATGTATATATATACATATATATATATATATATATATATATATATATATATATATATATATATATAATATAACACACACACACACACACAACACACACACACACACACACACACACACACACACACACACACACACACACACACACACACACACACACACACACACACACACACACACACACACACACACACACACACACACACACACACACTCACTCACTCACTCACTCACTTCTCACACACTCACTCGCACGCACGAACACTCGCTTTTATGGTTTTACTCGAATGAAGGGATCCGAACACAGTCAGCATGTAAACAATCTTCAGCGCAAGTGACTCAGTGTGTGTGTCATCTGTCAGATTATTTGCTCAAAAATCTAGTTTCACGACTTTGTACACGCATTTATCATCGCTATGGGGCTGCACAGCATATTGAAGAAGCTGAAACAGAAAGAGCACGAAGTTCGGTTGCTTATGCTGTATCCTTTTGAATTTATATATGAGTTCGGTGTCGGAATTTTTGAGGATTTGTTTATGATCAGCACTGGTCTGAATATTATTTTTCTAATTAATATGCCTGTGTGTGTTGATTGTACTTACTTTGTTGTGTATGTGTGTGGTTCTGATATATAATCGTGTTATTATTTACGATGATTGTAAACCGTTTTTGTTTTATAGGTCGTATTTCGTGTGTTAAATAGCATTTTATATAGGAAAAGGTACTGATAAATTCCCAGCCAGCCTTCTTTTAGACGAAAAATAATATGTGCAAACGATACAGCGAGGGATTCTAAGAAATTTATCTCATGTGATAGTGTTTTCAAATTGAAAATATAAAGAAAGTGTTTCATTAAGATAAACATTAAATTTGGGGTAATTTTACAGAATAGTTCTACCAAAATGGATCAAAACAGTTTTAATTATTAATGGATTCCTCTTACTCTGCACTATCCAGATACATAGACATTGTCTAATGCAGAAGGCTGTGTCCTATACGATCCCCCCATGGGAGGCTGTTGCTGCTAACCCAGTCCAGGAAAACAAAGAATCCTCCCCATATTCCCAACATAAACTCTCCTGCTGTAAATACATGAGGGATTCTTTGTATTTCAATGCGGGGTTGGGGGCGGCAACCCTTCATTGGATAAGATATTGACTGATTTCCACAATTTCCCAGGTACCTTTTATGCCCGCCCCTGCTACTGAGGCTAAGATAATCACTAATGGGCAGGGGGTTCCATGCAATAATTTTGATATGTTTGGATAGTAGAGTCTTAGAGGAATCCATCAATACCAAATTTGTCGTGATCTAGTAAGAGGAACTATTATGTAAAATGACCAAATTTGGTATTTGGACTCCCTATCAATTTTCTGCAAACTAAATATAGCGATAATAGTCGGCTTAATCAGTAAATAAATATTATACAAATAGCTGCAAATTTCCTAGTCTGGAGTCAGTGTAAGTCAACGGCTGAAGATTTACGCCAAGGCTTTAATAAATTTTCAAAGGCAGTTTTTTTTTTTTCAGAATTTGCAGCAACATAAACACAAATCAATTGGAGAACTAATGGTAGTAATAAAAAGTCTGTGAAAAAAAATTCTATTAAAAATACAGATTGAATTCTTGTGTTTTGTGAGCTAATTTACCATACCTTAGTTCACCAATTAGCTACAAACTTTACTCCTTCAGCCTTCACTGAATCATGCCAGTAATGTCAGTAATTTTCACATACTTATTGTTTTGAAAAAAAGGTGCAGTAAACAAGGCAAGTAACACCATATATAAAATATAATATTGAGATTTGTGAATTACTTCATACATTTTTCCCTGCTTATGGGAGGGGGTATGGACACGCAATTGAATATAAAAAAAACAATACATGTCAAAGGGCGGTAGAGCTCCTATTTCATTGCCAGTGAAACACAGTTTCAAAGGCGTTAATATGAAAATGCTTTGATAATGCAAAATATAAAAAAAAGCAAGTGAGAGTATGAGGTGATATGATGTTGCTATAAATATAAACAATTGTCATATCAAAATTAGATCTGAACAAAGAATAACAAATTATAAGTAGGCTAACAGGCACTATAAATTAACCCCAAGCTGCCGGGCATGACATGTACATACATGCCATTGCCCATTGTGTGTGTTGAATTTAATAATTGTTTTTACATATAGATGGCTCCACAAGTACTAAGTCACCAATGAACCAATTATGTGAACTACCTGTCTCACCTGTTTACCCTTTTCCTTGATTTTAGATAATATTTTCTAATATTACTGCCGTTAGTAATGTCAGTAACAATCTAGTAATTGTAATAGAACAAAAATAACAGTGTCAATGTTGATAGCACTAGTAAAAAAAAAACTTTTCCCGCTTTTTCAAGGAAAAGCGAGGTCGCAAGATCTACTAATTGACTCCTTTGTGGCTAAGCATTGACAGAGCCATTTACGTGCAGGAACATTCAACCAAGCATTACAAAAGGGAACGTACCATTTTCCCGTCAACATTGGGTTAAGCATGTTGAAATGTACGGTGTCCCTGCATTTATTCATATGCCATTTGATGTACTATAATATCAACCAAATAGATAAGGCAAAAAAAAATCAACTTATATGAAAAACAGTAATGATAAAAGAAATCATAATTACTGAATCCAATAAAGTGCAACTATAAGTACCATCCTTAAATCATGTCTTAAACCACTAATCCCCAAATTTGGCAAGACCTGTGGTGGCACCATTCACACCAACTTCACAAAGAGGTTCTTCTGGTAAGGCAGTGTATAAGAAATAAGACCTAGTGGAAAACTCTAAAATAATCACCCGAAGTGTCCCTGCTGAAAGTAAGAGAATACTACATATTATCCATTTTGTTAATTTGTGGGAGATCTACCAGTTTTCTATGGCACAAACCAACCCGATTCCCTGTGATTTCAGAGTCAAGACTTCTTTGAAAACAGATTAGGTATATTTATACAGTGGATGCTCATAATCCCTTAAGGAACCAGTAATATTGGGTAAGAAGATAAAATCAGATATAGGTTTAACGTACAAATTACTACATTTATCACTTTTATGTGCCTGCGTTTCGGTAGGCTAGAACCCCAACCCCCTGCCTGGAGTGCAAAATTACCACATCTGACTGGGAAGATGGAACCCAGGAAGGTCCATGTAACAGATGTCACAAATGATATCATGACTCAGCTGAGGTGAGATAGGAATTACTTGTAATGTATTGAGTCCCAAGTTGGAAGTTGGCGAGTCTGGAATCCAGGCCCTCTCTGCTGAAGATCTGAAGAGCTTAATTTTTAGACCGGCGGATTTTTGAAACAAAATTTTCTAATTGGTGGGTAGGTATGCCCAAGTGATAGTTTATGTTGAAATCCATATTTGATAGGAAGGGCTAGGAGTAACTTTTTATCTTTAAACAAAAAAATAGTTACTCTGGTATTATTAGTAAGGCTATATACCAATCAGAAATTAGAAAATCACAGTGCGTTCTTAATATGAAGTTCACAGAGTGAGGGTGGGTGAATTTACTGAATAAATTTGTTCTCAGTTGTCTTTGTCAAAATTTTTAGTACATGTACAAGAAATTGTAATATCCTTTAGATATTTCCATCCTGAACATGATTATACTAATACAGTTGTTTACCTTGAAGCATGATGCGCCAACAGTTATTGAAAAAAATCAAATTTCATTTTCCTCGGTGGGTTTAGAAATGTGAACATAATCAAACTGTTGTATCATAATATACCATCCTGACTAACTTTGAATAGATACTTTTCACAAGTTTGATTTGGTTTGGTATATATGTTGTTCATTAACGATAAATGATGTTTAGTGAGAAATTTTGGAAAGGAGTTTTATATGCTTTAAAATACTCTTAGGAAATGGGGTTGCCTTGTAAGTGAGGCATTTTGCACATGAGTAATTTTCTTGCCAAAAAAATTAAAGGTTGACCTACACACTAACATGATATCAACTTACACACAAGTATATCAAAAAATATGTTTACAGACCAGTTTTTCTACATGAATATGTCTTGTGTCCCTTTATATTTGTATCCATTGGATCTAGTTTTAAAATAGCAAGAAGAGGGATTTAGAATAGCAAGAAGAGGAGTTAGTTTTCCTTGACCAACTTATTTCAGCGGTCTCGACAATGCTGGGAAGACAACAGTGGTCAAGAGATTTTGTGGAGAAGACATTAGCACAATATCCCCAACTTACGGCTTTAATATCAAGACAGTTGAACATGTAGTGGATAAATATGAGTAAGTTCCTAAGAGTGAAGGTTCCATCTCATGAGTTTAATAATATTATGGACTTATTAGATACTTTGTTTTTAGAAGTTTCACTGAATGTTTCTGTTGTCAGAGTTGGGTGACAGTTTGTGTATGTGTTCTTTTGTTATATTTATGATTGCATTTATACGATTTGAGATGATTTGATGTAGAATTATAGTATGGATATTCTATTAATTTTCATTATGTTACCAAAAATAGAGATTTGAAGAATCATTTACCTGGTAATGCTGATTATCTAAAAGAAAAGTTTTTTTTTTTTTGACTACAAACGGCAGCTGAATACAAGAACAATATTTATATGCTATTTTCCGTCACAGAAACCACAGATACTGCATACTTGACAGATGTTAGCTAACAGCTGTTATGGTCCCAACACCTGTGCATATGTGTGGAGTGACTTATGTCATTTGCATTTCTTCATAAAGGAATGGTTTCACACTATCTGAAATCCAGATGAAAACTTTTTTTTTTTTTTTTTTTTTTTTGCACTGGTATATAAAGGTTTCATAGATTAATATCCCCCTTCAAAAGAAAGAAAGAAAGAAAGAAGAAAGAAAAACTATAAGTGATTTGAAGATATTTTTGACATTGCAGGAATGATATTATGAAAATTTTTATTATGTGTATCATATAATGCAGTGTATCTATCAAGCTAATGATTATTTATTGGATAATGACACTGATCATTGCCTTCAAAATCATGTAGAATAACATAGATACCTTGTTACACCATTCATATACTGAATTCTGCAGTAGTCTATGTTTGAATATACTTTTATTAAGACATTATTTTTGATTGGCCACAAGAGAAGAAAAACTAGGTTTTGTGTATTGTACGATATTAAAACTATTTTATTCTTATCATCAGTGTAATGATTTGGATAGACGTGTAAGTTTGCATAAATAAAGTAGATACCAATACCAATTATTAGACTTTATTCCCATTTTTTTTTTTTTTTATTATATATCAGGCTTTTTTTCCCATAATAAAATGTCATTTTGAAATCTGCCATTCTATATAAGGTGATATACCAACAGATATAAATTGAACATATGGGACGTAGGAGGACAAAGCTCACTTCGTTCATACTGGAGGAATTACTTCGAGTGCACAGACGGCCTTATATGGGTCGTGGACAGTGCGGATGTTGATCGCCTGAAAGATTGCCAAGGGGAACTCAAGAAGCTTTTAGAGGAGGAGGTAAATTTTATATATTATTAAAATACTTTCTCTTTTATTTTATTTTTATTTTTATTTTTTATAGGGTTTTCTATGTAATTACTTGACTTAGGTGTTTGCTCATATTCACTAACTTGCACTATCTCTCACTCAGATGCACTCATGTATGCATTCACTCACTCACTTGCTCAGTTCAACTCAACTCACTGAATGTATTGAATTTAATCATGCATTCATTCATGGACTCACCATCCTACATACTAACTCCTCATTCACCAAAGTACTCTCTGACTGTGACCTCACTCATATGTCTACTCACCTACTCACTCATTCACTCACATACTCACCCACTCCCTCCCCTACTAATTCAATCAGTCACTTACTCACTCACTCATTCAACTACTAATTCACTCACTCACTAGTTTACTCACCCACTTCCTCACCTTCTAAGTCAAAATTACAAACTTTCATACTCACTCACTCACTTTCTGGTCTTTCTTACATTTTCTTACATTCTTCTCTTGTGTCTCTTTACTTTCCAATGTTTTCTGGTGTGAGTTCTCAATTTCCTTTGTCTTTCTTTTCTTCCTTTTATTGTTCTCACACCTTTTCTTCTTTCCAATCCTTTATATCCTACACATTTTGTCCCTTTTATTCTCGACTATGTATTTGCTCCTGCCCCTTCCCTTGTTATCACTATCTACACTCTATTCCTTCACCTTTCCTGTCCTTTATCACCTTTTCCTGCTCTCTTACTACCTCTCTTTCTGGTCTTCTTTCACTTCTTTTCCTGCTCTCGCATCATTTCTTTTCCTGCTGTCATATCACTTCTTTTCCTGCTGTCATATCACTTCTTTTCCAGCTCTCGTATAATTTCCGTATCTTCTGCTCTCTTATCACTTCTTTTCCTGCTCTACAAAATCAATATTTAGGAAGGGTCTGCTAAATGGTACTGACTTTAGATGATTGATTTTTATCATTTAGTTTCTTCCATTAATTTTCTTGTTTGTTTTTCTCATTTTTTACAGAGGTTGGCCGGGGCAACACTGCTCGTGTTTGCTAACAAGCAAGATCTTCCAGAAGCCCTTTCCTCCGAGCAAATAAGAGATGTGAGTATAGAATGTGTGCGTGTGTATGTGTGGTGTGTGTGTGTGTGTGTGTGTGTGTGTGTGTGTGTGTGTGTGTGTGTGTGTGTGTGTGTGTGTGTGTGTGTGTGTGTGTGTGTGTGTGTGTGTGTGTGTGTGTGTGTGTGTGTGTGTGTGTGTGTGTGTGTGTGTGTGTGTGTGTGTGTGTATGTGTGTGTGTGTGTGTGTGTGTGTGTGTGTGTGTGTGTGTGTGTGTGTGTGTGTGTGTGTGTATGAGTGTGTGTATGTGTGTGTGTGTGTGTATGTGTGTGTGTGTGTGTGTGTGTGTGTGTGTGTGTGTGTGTGTGTGTGTGTGTGTGTGTGTGTGTGTGTGTGTGTGTGTGTGTGTGTGTGTGTGTGTGTGTGTGTGTGTGTGTGTGTATGTAGAGAGATTGCCTGTCTAATAGATATGTAGATTTTGATAGTGATCAGTGGACATATGTAAAGAGAAAAGCCATTTTAGACCCAAAATTAAGGTATTACTGTCCCCGTCTCCTTAAAAATGGAAGATAAAGGTGTTTCACAAGGACAATATTTTTTTTTCTGCTTCTTCCTCTTACTAGTGTTGTAGTTCAGCTCTTATTTTGTATGGAAAAGTAATAGAGGGAGATAGGTTACGGTCAAGTATGCATATTTCCAACAACAATAATGTAATGTAAAATGTTTCATTTTCTTTATAGTAAGAAAATCACCCATTTTATGTTATATGAACCCATCATCCTCTACCTCACTGTGTTTTTCTTTACATGTGAAACTAAAACCAAAAGAAAAGAGTGGAAATTGATTTTAATGTAGAATGCAAAGAATGTATTTCATGATCATGGTAGTTCTTTCTGGGAAATTAAAGTAATTTTAGTATGTATTGATTGCCCTTAGCAACATGTCCATGAAATACCCATTAAAACATAGGTGCATATTGTCAAAGGTTGATATGTTGTCATTGGTTTCTTTGCTTTCTATCTTTCAATTTTTTTCTTTACTTCTTTGTGTATGTCTTCTTTCTCTCTCTCACTTTTTTCTTTATGCGAATTGATTTTTAAAAAGAATGGTAAATACTACATATTGTTTTTTATTCCTTTCTTTCATTAGTCTCTGTTCTCTTCTTCCCTGCCAGATCCTGGACCTAAACAACCTCAAGACGCACCACTGGTACATCTTGCCGTGCAGCGCTGTCACAGGCGAGAACCTGGTGGCAGGCATAGACTGGCTCATCCGAGATATTGCAGCTAGAATATTTACTTTGGATTAATATTATTTATAAAGACATTTGATATAGGTTCTTGAACTAGTAATGTTCAGTGGTGTTTAAGGTAAGTTCTTCAACATTCCATGTGTAATGATAACCATCTAAGGGAAAGAATGTGATGCTGAGGATTATTATTATTATTGTTTTTTTTTTCTATTTGTTATTATTTTTTTATGGAAGGAAATTTTGTTATACATTTGTCTTTAAGATGAATCATTGGCCCACTGCCCACGGGTCCCAGTTGGCATGACGTCCATACCATGTCCACTGTAATTATGGTATATTGATTGTGTTTACACGGGGAGTCAATTAACAGTCCTATCTTGCCTGTTTACTCTTTTCCTTGATTTTTTGGAGAGATTAATTTCTATTATTGCGATTATTTTGATATTATGATAATCATAATGCCAATAATGATGATAACATTATCAATATTAATAGCATTAGAAAATCAGGTGCGGTACTAAGGATAATTAATTGGCTCCTTGCTAAGCACTTGCAGAACCATCTGTATGCAACAAAATTCACTAAGGCTAGGGGGTTTAATAGAGTGTGAAAGTAATGCATATTTTTTATTGATTTTTCCATGTCAAAGAATCAGACATTCACCTTGTTATTTATTATAGACATCCTTTTTTGTTTTGTTTATTTATTGTGGTGTAAGACTATATTTGATTAGGTGTTCATATTGTGTATTACTGAAAAGAGTCCGATTTTATTGTATCATAAGCAATTGGTTGAAATATTAGTGAATTGTTGTACATTACATTGACATCATTATTTTATTCTTTGCCATTTTTCTTTTCATGTACATTTAACCCATTGTTATTATTTACCATGTATCGCAGATTATTATGATTTTCTTTAAGGCATGTCCATGCTTTTTCTTTTAGATTTTAATGTCAAAGATTTATAAGGTATGTTAGTGTGCTTCTACCTAGCACTATGAAAAGTTTTGAAAAAGTGTAATCTCAAACAATTTATTATAGTCATTATTTTCAGATGAGCTAGGAAACTAGAACTTTTGTGTGAAGGAAACGAGTGCACCGTCAAAATAAATGTTAAATGAATTGTGTTCTCGGGCAATATGCCAGTAATACAAGCTGCTTAATTAAAATCTAATGGAATCATTGTCGTCTTAGTATGTATTTGTGTTGTCTGTGATGGTTTGTCTTCATTATCTCATTATTAAACTCCATCTCACATTTTAGGAATATGTTGCATTTTCCTTAGATAAGTAGTTTTTTTTTTGTATTCATTTTTGTGTTTTATACATGAGAAAAGGAAATGTCCGTAGCTAGGTTACCAAAGGAAGTTTTGATGGTGATGAATGCCCATTGTATATGAAAATTCATTGTGAAGACAGGTGCTATGTGTAGACATTGACTTTCTAGTTTCATGTCATGTTATATTTGGTTAAGGAAGTGTTTTTCTAGTGAATAAATGTACTGTACATTAACCAGACTAAACAATATTCAACAGATAAAAGCTTTTGATAGGAATTGTAAATTTTACAGTTTAAGGAAAAAAA